CTGAGCTTGGCTGCCTGCCCATGTGGCTCCTAATACACTTCAGATGTAGAGCCACAGGGTGGGAGGTCCTGGACCCAGCATGAGCCAGGACTGAGCCTGCCTGCCTAGCTTCTAAAATAGTTTAAATGCAGAACTGCAGCAGGGTAGGTCGTGAGCCAGGCAGCTGGCCAGCCAGCTAAAAAAATTTACTTCCGGCCCTGGCGGGGGGGAGCGGGAGTGAAGTGCATGTATTTTGTAGCATTAACCTAAGTTTTTGCTAATCGGTTAATCGACTACACGATTACATCCCTAATCTAGATCTTGGTGCCTTTTGTTTTAGGGGAAAAAAGTTATCTAGTTCGATTTTAATACCTAGAGAATTTTGTTTGGAAACAAGTTAAAACATCAGTAATTTCCCCATGTAATTCATAAGCAGAAGCAAACATACAACCTCCGAAAATTCGTGATTTTTATAGTACAGTGTCTTCTCAAAGAGCTTGTCTTCTTCAGACTTCCCAGATAACAGCCAGCCAGCCAGCCTAATGTGAGGAGAGATGGAGGGTCATATTGTCAGCTTCTCTTATATCTTCATTGAAGCTGGTGGACCTATACCAAATTACAGCATCTGACAATCTGGTCCGGAGTCTCTTCTGGTGTTGGAAGCAATCCAGGGTGATTAGAATTAAGGAATCATGTGTGCAGATACAATTGAAGTGGGCACATTAGTTGTATTTTATTATTAAACAGATCGAGAGTTCTCAGGTTTCTATGATAAAATGCACTTAAAATTCCAGATATTCCCCATAGTGCCAAAATGTGGAAAGACTGTTGTCTTTGATCACTGAAATACATGGGTTGATATGCACCAGCAGAGGATCAAGATCTTTATATTTTATTATCTAACAAAATATTGCAAATCTGTAGTTAAAAATATGATTAAATGTAGCAAGGAACTGCTTGAGTATCCCTCTGGCACACCTGGAAACTTAAGATACGGTTTGCCTTGGTAAAATTTCAGTATTGTTTAATTCAGCAATGTCTCCAGAAATGGAATTGCAGCAACCCTCGCACAAAAGAGTATTATGAGAAGCTTCACAAACTTTCCATTGATGCTGTGGGGTAAGCTATGGCAAGTTTATCTTCAAACTTCTCAACCTGCTGTGGGGAAATTCTAGCCACATTTAGGAAGCAAGAAGTGATATCTGTGGAAAAAAAACAATACTCGTATTAAAAACACATTGAGGGACTCAATATTATGCAAGGGGTCTCTTCGGGGTTTTGTGTACAGCCTTTTGAGAGAGCTTTCTAGAATTAAAATCTTCTAGTCAAAGAGCTAAACTTTTTAAACTTTATAATAATGTTAATAGATTTTTTTTATCATGCGCAAAGGATACATACCCTGGTTCAAGTCCAAATTTATTCCCATTTGCCTACTTGCTTTGTAGTGGGGATGTTAAATGTTCAATAATTGTGTAACCACACCAAATCTTATTGGTTAGTGATGGCTGCTGGCTCGCTCCCAGAAACAAATGCATTCCTGTGGACAGAGACTAGTCTACAGCATCAGCCCCTATCTGTGGGGGGGCCTTAGCTCCCCATGGACAGAGGCTGTTCCAGCATCCTGTATGCCACCTTAGGCTTATCGGTTAATTATTTAAATGACTAATTGCTAACATCCCTACTTTGTAATTAACTAAAATAATGGCACCAACACACAAACATAACGTGTAAATGTGGTTGTTGCTACTGTTTCCACTGCAGAATCTCCCTGCTTCTTGGGGGATGCTCTTATCGCTTTTTATTCTGCTAAATTTAAGACCACTGGACAAACTTAACCTGAGAGAAGACTTCTAACCATGCAGGGTTTATCCACTTTCGTCTTACGTAATAATTAATACATATCTGGTGTGGACAAATCCTTACCTTATTGAAACCATAAACTCATATTATTGCAACATAGATTAAGGGCATCTGTACTTTTCTTAAATCAAAATCCAGAACATGTAACTTCATTTTAGACTATGAAACTTGGTACCTTAAGTAATGAATATCTGAGATTTGAGGTAATTTTATACAGTAAACTTCTGATAATACGGCACCTTTAGGACCCAGGAGATGCCAGATTATCAGATATGTCGGCCTATACGCAGGGGGGGCTAAGAGGGGTCTGGGGTGGAGTGGAGCGATGTGCCCCTTGGCGCTGTGGGACCAACCCGGAAGCACCCCAGCTGCTCTGCCCCAGGTGTCCCCAAGTCAGCTGCTGCTGAAACTGACCAGCGGCCGGCTCCCGGGAGCCCCAGCCAAAGTAGCTGGGGGTTCTGCTGGGTTGGTCCCGCAGCGCTGAGGGGCAGTGCTATGGGACCAACCCAGCAGCACCCCAGCTGCTCTGCCCCTGGGTTCCCTGAGTCAGCTGCTGGTCAGTTTCAGCAGTGGCTGAATCAGGGAAGCCGGGGGCAGAGCAGCTCCAATTGTCCGGCTGCCTGGAGCACTTCTGGGTTTCAGATGGTTCCGGACCATCAGGAGTGCTGGACCATTGGATGCCGGACCACTGGTGTTTTACTGTAGTGACCTTGTTTAGAATCTGGTGTGTTCTTTATATTGCATACTATCTTATCTAATCATTCTGTTTTACCTGTGGTCTATAACGGTCAAATTTTGCAGTCCTATGTTGAATCTACTTTGCTTAGCTCTGTACATGTAATTACTTCAGTATTTATGTACTATTTAAGAAATGATGAAGCCATATGATCAGTATTAAACAGCAGGAAACTGTTAGAGGGCACTGCCTTAAATTAAACTGTGTGCAGAGTAAGACTGCTCAATAATCCCTGATTTACACTAGGAAGTTACTTAGAAAAATAACTCCCGTTATTTTGAAATAACAAGCAGAGCATTCAAACTACCAAGCTCATTATTTCAAAATAATAACTCCTGCTTTCCACGTGGAGTAACACTATTTCAAAAGTTATTTTGAAATAGCGGTAGTATTTTTTGTTTTAATCTAGAACCCTGCAAACATGTGGGTATCCAATGCAGATATCCATGGATCAATTTTATGGCTGCAGATAGAAATTTTGTATTGGTACAGGACTCTATAGAAATATGACAGTCTTTTCAGAGAGTTTCTCAACTTGAGCAGTTCTACCAGTCATCTCTAATCAAACAGGAACTATTTTTTAAAATGCTAAACCATTTTTCCTTCAGACTTTGAAAACAAAATTCACCTTCAGGCATAGCTATTGCATGAAAAATTTCAGAGAATGAAAATGTGAGGTTAGATTGGAAACAGTTATTTTAGATCCTATAATAATTGTATCTATAGAAGTTCATCTCTGGGATTTCAAGAGCCAAATTTTATTCCAGTTATTTATTTGCCTCTAAGCTTGCTCAGCAAAGGAAATAGTAAACCTGGATTCAGAGTGGAGAGAACTCTATTTTCTACAGCCATGTTAGAAGTATTGTGGTTATGGGTGAGCTGGTATTTTAATTCCAAGCTTTCATGTTGTACCTAGTACAACAGACTTCCGATAATCTGGCACCTTTGGGACCCAGGGGGTGCCGGATTATTGGATATGCTGGAGTATCAGTATGGAAGGCTGTGACAGGTATGGGGGTGGGAGGAAGGTTGGGTGGGGAACGGCGTGGCGTGGGGCGAACTGGGTGCTCGTGAAGGGCAGCGCTGCGGGACCAACCTGGCAGCACCCCAGCTGCTCTGCCCCAAGGTTTCCCCAAGTCCACGGCTGGTCAGTTTCAACAGAGGCAAATTTA